CCCTTCTTCCTATATTGTTTTTTTTTTTACTTTTTTCAATTTTCTCTTTTTCTTTTTCTTTTATTTCAATCTTCGCTTTCTGTTTGTTTTTGTTTCTTACTTCCTTTCTTTCTTTCTTTCTTTCTTTCTTTCTTTCTTTCTTCCATGTTCCGTTTGCTTCTCCTTTCTTTCTATTTTTGTTGTTTTATTCACTGTTCTTTAAGGCCTTTTCTTTCAATGCTTTGTGAAACTCACGCCACCCAATCTCATACTCACCTCACTCTAAATATTGCCATATTTTGCTAACAACGACACAAAAACAATGTCTCGCTTTTGTTTTCTTTCAAGGCCCTGTTCATTACAATACCAATTAAATAAGAAATTACTGTCTCATTTAACATATTAACAGATCGGGCCACACGGTGCGGGTGCACAAGACAGGGCAACTCACTGTATATACACAAACTATCACAGAACCTTAGGCGTCGTTTGTTGACAGAGTCGTATTAGATGAGCGCACATAATCTGAAAGATTTTAGCGAATTAAAGTAACTCCGAGAATCATGCTTGAAGGTAATCAATTGTAGATGGGATTACAGAGTGCGTATTCATTGCAAAATATTACTTACACATTAATTAATAATATAAATGAGAGATGTTAACTCGCTTCATCATTCTCTGTATTGCTGGTTTGAAAGTTTGCTTCTTTTGATTTGCAAAAAAACTGGCTTCCAGTTTTACCTCAAGAAAGATAAGACAGATCTTTTTTTATGGATTACTCGTAATTTTAGTCTGTGTTTTTGGGATGAGGTGTTATCATTATTTACATTATGTAAATTTTTACAGATCTCCTTATCTTTGATATTATTACCTCTTTATATTTCTGAGATGTGGTATTGTAATTATTTACACCATTTACATTGTTCGGACTGTTGTCCTCATCTCTGTTTCCATATTCATGATGTTTTAGCCGTTGTAAGCTCCGGCCTTCTTCAGGTGATTGATATTTCTAACGAAACTGTTTATTTCGCCCACCGAGGTAGATTCTTCTAGTTCCACGTGTCATGCCTTTTCCGGATGTTTCAGCTATCTCATTTTAACTCAACTCTCCAATTTTTTGTTCACCATTGGATCCAACCAATGCTTTTATCTACTGGGTCATGTGTCCTTGATATTATTATCACAATATTTTGGCAGTTGTGATCTCTCTGCCAATGAGGATAACCTACAGGAAATTTAAAACTAAACCTTGTATTTAATCTAAGGAGTATAGCGTTTTCGTTCCGCTGTCCATGTTTCGGAATATCTCGTCTTGTTCTTTTATAGTCCGGCACGGTTATTGCTCGTCCTGTTTCCAGTGGGTCCAAGTATACATTGGCCCAGGAATTGGACCCACAATTGCCATGCCACCTAATTCTCGAAACAACTCTTTATTACACTTTCTTTCTTTCTTTCACCAACTTTTCCTTCTTTCTATTTTCGTTTTTTACATACTTCGATGTTTTATTTTATTTTATTTCATTCTTCGCATTTTTTTTCACTCTTTTTTTGGACAATGACCTAGTAACTGTGAGTTCAATCCCTGAGTCAGGTAGTCCAGACCGATATGGAGTTGAAACAGGGTGAGCCATAACTGAGCCGTACTAGACTTAAACAACGGAATGAAAACAATCTACACCCGTAGATTAAATAAAACGTTCAGTTCGGAATTCCTTTAATGTTGTCTGGATAAACAGACGCCTGAAGAAGGCCGAAACGCCGTGATAATAACAACAAAGACGGCGATACTTGTAGCATTTTATTTCCTGCTTTGGGATTTTTTCTCTGGAATATTTTGAGTCTCTTTCGCTTGGTATTTGGGCACCTACCGTTCAACATTAATGTTCAACAAAATGACCACTTTAGTTCATATCTAGTGGAGTGACATTTTCATTTACAGAATTCAACCTTCTCTTGCAAAGTCACGTAATGTGGACATGTGTTTCTCAAATCTTATTACTTTTCCCACATTATAAAAATGTTTTATTCTATTTTTAGAATGTTTTCAAGTGTTAATTTTCAAATATATATTTGCTTTTCATGCTCTGCTTTTTCACTGAGACTTTTTTTTCATATAACAGCTTTGTAAAAACCTTAGAATACAGTCCGCTACTGGCAAAGCAAAGACACGGCCACCTGACATCACCATTGCAAGAAAGTCCTTTTTTTTTTTTTACAATAAAACGACCTCTTTTCAGCAATATTCGATGCCAATATTAATAGTAGATTTACAAAATATGAAAGTGTTATAGTGGAACACACCTATTCTATAGTTAATAGACTCTCCAACCTATAATAAGTAGGAGTAGCAGGGGTCGCTCAGTGGGTCGGTCAGTCAGTCGACTGGCTGATCGGTTGAACTCTCTGCCTTCGGGCGGCGAGGAACCCGAAGGAGGCTCCGCCGAAGGGCGGATTCTCTTTCGGGGGAGGTAAACCGACCCTGAACCCGTTTATACGGTTTCAATGGGCATATTTTTGGCCGAGCCCACGGGATCGGAGATCCCACGTTAAAAAGGCCTTGTGCCACATGACGCCCTTGGGGAGGGGGCTTGACTGAATATCGTCGGGAAGTCAGTCAATGTCGGACGACCGTTAGTCGGATACTAAGGTATCAGCGACCACGACTAGATTTCTCTGCGTCTTTACCTATTATATCAAGTTCCTAACGTTTTGTACGTCGAACCTATTTTAGGACCGACTTAGTACAACTACAAGCATTCCACTGTGAAACCACTCTACAACAGAAAGGTGGATTCTGACGAGAAAAATCGTCTGGCACGACACCGTGGACCAAATTTATTTGCATTAGATCTTGTAATTGAGTCAAGAAATCTACTCCATTTCATGTCGGAGAAAAAAGTGTGCCCAAGAATGCTCAAAGAGCTGATGGAGAGCAGAAACGGTTCTCTACAGTGATTAAAATGATAGTTTTGTTTTGGATGCGTTTGAATTTACAAGCCATTCTTTACCTCAGTTAACAACTGACTGGAAGTCATTTTCAAGACTAGCTGCTAATTTTACTTTTTCAAACCTATAGGAATTACTAAGATAGGAGTAAATAGTTATGTCATCAGTAATATCACCAGTTGGGAACTGATGACATCGTGAAGGTCTTTCATGGAGACAAGAAATAATGCAGGTTCAGGGATAGAGCCTTGCGGGACAGCCCGCTTTAATATCAAATGATCTAGAAATGTATCTGTTCAACATGACCTTCATTATTAGATTTGCTAAGATCAATTGGATTAAGCCAAATATTCGTCCAAAGACACTATAGTCATTGATTGTGTGGGGAAGGCCAGAATACCGAAACCCCTGTCAAACGCCTTCATGATATCTAAAGCCACAACCCGAGCCTCGCTGTTCTTTTCTAAAGCCAGATAGACACATTCAGTAATAACCGTAACCACATCGACGGTATACCGGGAGAAACGAAATACACAATGTTTATCTGATAGAAGGCCGTAGGAAGTTGGATATTTAACCAATTCGACATTGATTAGTGTTCTAGCACTTAGCAAAACGCGGTAAAAGACTAGTAGGGTGATAATTTGAGAGATCAGAAGGTTCACGAGAATTCTTAAAGAGAGGGACTACAGAAGAGAAGTCCCAATAAGCTGGAAGGCAAGAAACAGCAAAGGCATTTATTGTAGAATTTGGAGAGAACAGGAGCCGGTTCAAGAGACAATTGGGACAATTGCAGGGTTACTGTCAAATTTGCAAGCTTTGTGGGGTCTAATTTGGATACCATGAACGGAGATGTGGCTATCAGTACAGATTCCGTTCTGGCGAGAAAAATAAGTCTATCATACTTCTGAAGAGTTGAGAGTAGAGTTGGAAGTGAATTTCCAAGCAAAACATGCAGCTTGTTAGCAGTACGTCAAATTGATTGAAAAGTGTGGGGATTTAGGATTTCTTCTTGTTCAGCACACACTTACAGAACCACTATTAATCTCTAGAACCAAACTTGTGAGAGGCTATACAGTGTCTCATTCTATCAGAGAATAGCGATTTTACCTCGTTGAGGAAACATGTAAACACATTATGTGCGGTGACAATAAGTGTCTGTTATGATCAGAAGTACCACGTTGGTACAGACGGAAAACATTTACAAATATCAATAAATGATCAGGAATTAACTGTGAGAAAGTTAAGCTTGACAGGTGTCTTTGCGAATTTCAGCCCAGGTACGGTGCTCATCATACGACCACAAGGAAGTTTAAAGCAAAAAAGATCGGTTGTTAAGCAACGCCGAGCCTGGACAGTAACTAGATGGGTGACTGCTTGGGAATACCACGTGCTGTAAGCTCGGATGTTCGCTCGTGTCATGGATAGCGGCTTGGAGTTGGAGATCGGAGAGACGAGTTCCAATTGCAGACGGGTGAGTTATATTCGCTCACACGCAAATAACCCATAAGATATGGGTTAATTAGTAGGACTTGTATTAGTAAATCATTGTTATCTCCAAAAAATTCTCACATTCTAATATTATCTTCTGGTTTTAAACAACACACAAAAGGTTGATAAGCCATAAAATATCAAGTAATCAACCTGAAGCTGAAAATGTTAATTCACTGTGCCACTCTGAAAGCTTTTCTTCAGTGGATCTCCAGAGAGGGTTTTGGTTTGGTTTGGTTTAGTTTGTTTTACGGCATATCAACCACAATGGGTTATTTAATACCGACAAAATTTTTATTGCTGGTAATTTTTTTTTCAAAAAATATATTGCTGGTAATATCTTTTTTCAAAAATGTATTTCTGTATTAAAATCTATTTTTACACTTTTGACCCAAGTTTGGGTGTTAACTATTTGCCCATAGCTGGGACCCTAACAGGTGCTACCACCCCGGGTCAGGGTGGACCTTGGAACACCAGCAACTAAGAGATGGTTCCATGCTTCTCGAAACCTCCTGAACAGAGGCCTTGCTGTTGCTTGTAGTTTATCGTCTTACCCAGGACGCGGATGTAGTTTATCGTCATAC